GACTCTATGTAAATTTCCTAACGAATTTCTCCGAATTCTTGTTCAACAATAGTTTATGAACAGTTTTCGCGTTGTGTTGAGTGTTTTCTCTTATTAATTTAACTCAACTCACGCAGAGTTATTTTCGCCTAAATAAAAGGCCAAATAATACAAACTTTCCAAGTACATTCGTGTATTGTGACCTTGTAAAAAGTACCCGAATTGTGACACCTTTTTTACGAGCTAAAAGCTAAGAGTTCTAGAAACTTCTGTAAAAAAAAATCTCTTGTGTATATAGTGTAATAAATGACTGTACATTTGTAAATAGACAAAGAAGTGTTTCATTGTGTACAGCCTTGAATACCTAATTGGAAATTGGAATTCTTCTAAACAAATTGGCACTGTGGTCCATCCAATTTTTCAGCTATACCTTCTGATGTAAGCCAGCCAAGCAACTACGTGTTTTTTTTTCCTACAGTCCACTGTTCCCAATCTTAACATCCCTAATAGGAACAGCTTCAACCCGACGCGAAAATAGGTCGATCATAGTGAGAAAATACAAATATCCCTCGTATTGTGGCAGCGGACCAACAATTTCTAAATGAATTTGGTAAAAACGACCATCCGGTGCGACAAAATGGTCCGGAAAGGTCCTCATATGTCTCATGATTTTGGAATCCTGACATTCTTTACATGCCCTACACCAAGCTTTGGCATCTTTTTACATGTTTGGCCAGACATATCGCTGCCTAATCAATCGATCAGTGACTTTGGCACTAGGATTAGCTGGATTGTGGACCATGTGGAAGACTCTAACGAAGAGACTTAGGCACATATAGTCTAATGGCCTCAGCTGAGATTTCACAGTCGATTTGCACTTTGTCAGGACCCCAATAAATTCTTTTGAGTTTTAATGGCTGGTCTGGAGATGTTTTAATCGCTGTCAATTGTTCGTCAATGGCTTGCTGTTGAGCTAGCTCGTTTAAATCAAACTCCAGCGGAATACGAAGGAGCATCAATCCGAGATGCCACTATGTTCCAGCATTGAAGACGCGTATTCATTTGAGAAGATGTTTTTTATTTCTATTAAATTTTTAAACAACATCAAAGAATTTATTGATTAACATTAACAATATCTATGTAACATTTTAGAAAACAAAGATTTGAAAACCACTTAAATACAATAACAATGATAAAAACGAACTTTTTACAAAACAGCAACAGTTATTTTAAACAATATTGTTAGTACCTTGTAGGGCCACCCCGCACATCGATCACAGCCTGGCATCTTCAAAAAGTTTATAACCGTACAAGCTCTGTGCGGCCTGGCGTTATCATCGATGAAGACAAAATCCTCCCCAATATCTTGTGCAAAAGGTATAACAATATTGTTTAAAATGTTGTCCCTATAAACAGCAGCATTGACTGTCCTTTTTGAAATAAAAACTTGGAGGCAAGATGGGGAACGATATAATGAAGAAAACACGGCTCCACAAGGAGGCGTTTGGAGGAGGTTGCGTTACTGTTTCGGCTGGGGTTATGCACGAAGCTAAACCCGAACTTTTTATTTCAAGCAGAACAGACAATGCTGCAGTTTATAGAAACAACATTTTGAGCAATATGGTTTTGAGCAGTATGCTTTTGCACAATATTTTGGGGAGGATTTTGTCTTCATCGATGATAACGCCAGACCGCACAGAGCTCGCACGGTTATAAACTTTTTGGCAGAAAATAATGTTACAATAATTATTGTTTCTGTCATCAAAGTCTCCAGACCTAAACCTTATTGAGCATGTGTGGTCTCGGCTAAAACTTTTAGTGCGGACAAGACAAAATGCTCCTCAAACAATGGAAGAGTTGTCTGAGGCCATTCAGGAAGAGTGGGAAAACGTATACCAAGAATTTATTAATAACCTTCTGGAAAGTATGTCACGAAGATTCCAGGCTATGATCGATGTGCGGGGTGGCCCTACAAGGTACTAACAATATTGTTAAAAATAACTGTTGCTGTTCTGTAAAAAGTTCGTTTTTTTCATTGTTATTTAGGTATTTAACTGGTTTTCAAATTTTTTGATATTGTTTTAAAATTTAAAAGAGATAGAAAACATCTTCTCTAATGAAGACGCATACGGCAATGCTGAATGAGAGAGATAAAAAATTCCAGATAAAAGATGAATAGCAGTGTTGGCCAGCATTTCGAAAAATAACAATTTTAAAGTTATTAGCACTTCTCACCAAGCCAAAAAATGCTCTTGTTGCTACGCCACTGGAATACACCCCTGTATATAGAGTAGTAACTTGAATTTTTTCATTAAGCTGTTTAAGTGCAATAAATTATTTATAAATTCGGTTTAAATTACATAACGTCAAGGTAGCAAATTTTTTCTGCACGCCACTGGAAGCAGCAACTGTCAATGAGTGCTTCAATCTTTACTTGGGCTCAAGAAAATTCCACTTTATGCAACAGTATGAGAAAAAATATCCATTCTCAAGAGGAACTCCTGACATAGTCCGATAGCCCCAAACTTTGCTAAAAAACCATAACTTTCTTTGCTCAACCTGTATAAGTAGATGAATAAAAGAAATATACTGGTTGAACCCTGTACGTGTTCTCAAAGAGTTGACCAAGAGCCTCCTAACTACCACAAATCGATAACTCCGTCCGTTCCGAAAATATCGAGATTTGAATTATGGTAAAATTTTCCATGTTGCAAAGCAACTGTCCACCAGTTTAGATGGACCGATTTTATTGTCTCGTCAAAATCCTGATTCCCTGCTCATGGATTTTTGAATTTGCATGAAGGAATTATTTGAGCGACCGGGGAGCAATAAGGCAAGGCGCAAATAGATGAGCAGAATTCAAGGGTCGGCAATAAATAGTGCGAGTAAACTATTCCAATACTGAACAGATAAGTATAGAACAAGAAGAGAAGTTAGGAAATGCACTATTATAGCTTGCATAAGAAATGGGAAAGCCCTTTGAACAATCATCTTAATCTATTTCCGCATTTTTGATAATAAACCCGTCTCAGGTAGAATTTTAGTATTGTTTTTCAAACCAAAATACATAATTATTTATTAGACTGAAATTATATCAGGTGATTAGGGAAAAAGTTTTCAAAACTGTTTGTACGAGTATTTTATTATTAAGATATCGAAATAACCTTTTGTAGAGCATTAATCACCTAAGCGAATTGAAGTTATGAGAATGTCTATCATCATTTTCCAAATTAAGGGTACTAGAAGTCAACAACATGATTTTTTTTTTAAACACAAACTTATAAATACCTTAAAAACTATTATATGTCACTTACTTTGTAGAATGTCCATGTTGCGTTGTATGGCCCATTATTCGCATTTCTTTGGCAACGTTACCGTTCATTGAATGGCTTTGATAAGATGTAGTACCCTGAAAAAAAAAAAAAAAAAATTAAATAAATATCCAAAAAAACTTTCCTCAACAAAGAAATAAATCCGCATAAACGAGTAAAATATTCAAGGGGAATAATAAGTCATTCAAATTTTGACTCTCCCCCAAATGGCGGAAAATTTTGAATAAACTGTTTTAATACATTTTTACGCTCCTTCTCCGTAGAAAGGATTTTAAATTGATAGAGAAAGGGAATATTAAATATTTGGATTTTTATTGCTTGAGGGAATTAATCCACGGAATCTTTCAAAGATCGAATCAATTTTAATTTTTTGCTTCTAGCGATCAGGATTTGTTAGGAATCCTAAAATCACGCTCCAATAAATAAATTTGGGAATTATTGAAAGTGACAAAAAAAAATCGTTAAGAAATTTTGGGAATCGTCACTATGCGTCGCATGCGATAACAAAGTGAGAAATCTCTGATATACGGTAATTATTAAAATAGTGTATGTGGGGAATCAAAATTTCTGACGTTAGCATGTCGCAATGTTGCCGCATCAACTTCGTTTTACTTTGACATACCGTAAAGTTTGTCATTTTCCCAGATTACATTTTTATTAATAAATTGATAAGAATAATTATAATACCAAAAAACGAAATTCCATTAATACAATTTTATGGCAAACTAAATTATATCCCAACTATCAATCCCCGACTCGTTAGAAACTGACAAAAAATCTCAAAACATTAAAATCAATAACCAAAGATATGCAGAAGGCAACTATTGGCAACATTACCCACGAGTACCAACCTAAATCCCATTTTATCGGCAGATTCGGTTAAATGATACGACAGCATTTTATCTCTTTCTAACTAGAGTTAAAAAAGATGGGAAAATGCGCTCCGAGTTTAAAAAGAATTTCAATTTCTTAAAAACTGCAATTGGCAATAATTTCGATGTCACTGATGACTTGCAACCATTATTTTAATAATTTCACTATAAATTCTTACCCCTCTGTAAGTTGGTGCCACAATTAAGAATGTATCAATGTTGTGGTCCTTCAGGTAAGCGTTCCTTTCACCCCCGTTTCCTGGCTCAACTTCGTAATCATCCCCTAAACACTTTAGAGTCTCCTTGGTTATGTGCACTCTCCTGTAACAAATTTGCGCTGGAGATAAGGCTTAAAACGAATGTTTCAGAACACTTAATTGATATCGAACTAGTATCACGAAGTTTAATCGGCTTTTAGTATTATTAAAAAGTTATATTAAACCCAACGTTAGTGTGTAACTTTTGGTTGATTAAGTTGAGTACGTGGTATTACATACAAATTAGCTTTGAAGCTGTTGTAACCAAAACTTTGAAGTCGAGTTAGATTAACGATTAGTTTAGATGGGGAAAGCCTTTTGGGAAAACGACGTTATAATTTTATATAGCAGGTGCGCAAATTAATTTCTCTGAAGCCATTGTTAAATTTGCAACTGAAACTGCGACCTGAATTCCTTCTTCGCCAGAAATAAAATCCCGTATTTCACTGATAACTGGGTCAGAGCGACGACGTCGAGATAAAAGCCAGAAAAACATAAAACTTTTTTTTTTCCAGGGTGATAGATACTAAGTTTTATTATGATATATATTTTTTACTTACCCAGGTATCCCTCCGCTTTCCATATAATTTGCTAATGTAACATCATTAGACCAAACGTCAAATTGCCATTTTCTTAATCCCAATACGCCACAATGCACCCGACCTGTATGAATTCCCACTCGCATGTTAACGTTAACATTCATTACACCCCTTACTAACCTGCAAAAATAATTCACCGTTACATTTATTGCAATAGCTCCCATTTTTCTCAGATATAATTTAAACTGCAGATTCGGCGTTAGTTATTGGATTTAATTAACTCGGGCGTGAACAGCTCGAATATTTTTCATCGAGAAAAATGTTTCGCTTCTGTTGTGAAACGCATCCGTCATAAGGGAATGAAAGGAAATGGCGCCTACTCGGGGAGCCTTTGGAACGTTAATCAAGGCGAGATTAGCGTGGTGGTCTTTTTAGAGCTGAAATGCTTTTATTTGGTCTAAAACTTATTTTCCCACAAATTAATAGCGAATATTTACCTACGTATTCCGACTAGGTTGTTTAATGGGTCCGATTTATATAAATTTAAATGGTACGCTCGTATCCCAAAATTAAACATCACCGCGAAACGGATTTAGTCCGTTCCCAAGCACTTTTTACTCTGTAAATTGCACTTTTAAAAGCCGTAATGGGACCTATTATCGCCTTCCTGATTTATTCATGCTCCATCGAAACTTTTAATCTGCTAAATTCGAATGTTTCTTTCAAAGAGTAGCGATATTTTCTAGAAAGCTTCCTTTTCAGTTTAGAAGTATGGTTTTTTTATTGAAAACGAACTATGTTATACCAGTAGCCACCTCTAGAATAATGGCTAGATCGGTACCGGACAAATGTAGGTCACCGATGACCTACGGGTAATTGTTCATGGGACGCCGCAAAGGTAACCGGAGACCGACAATAAACTTTATCAGAACTTGGTGGAAACCCAACGTAAAATAAGATTTCAATGCGGTTTGGTGGCCAATATAGCATGTGAAATGCTACAGTATTTGTTCCTTTTTTCTTTCAATTATAATATAAAGGTAAATTAGTACTTTTAATGTTGACAGTCTGGTGACTAGCATTAAAAAAAAAGGTTTCTGCTGCTAATGATATTAGCAATAATTGAACTAGAGAGCACGATTTTCGTTTATGTTTGAAGTACCAGTTTAGTACCAACACTTTCCGTTTGCTATTTTTTGAAAAGAAGCTCTGTTTCTTCGCCCCTTTTCAATCTTGCCGTTGCACTGAAAGGTCGACTCTGGCCGAGGGGGCAGCCATCTTCCTCAACTCTAATTACCGTTCTCGTGAAGAAAAATACCTAATCGCCCGTCAGGCACTGTTTTAACAAAATAAAGTTGCGTAAGGCAATAATCCATTAAATAGCGAAAAAATTTAAATCGAAAGTCTTGTGATTACCGTTTTATTTGAGTTCGAATTTCGAACCCCCTCGTAAGTCCTTTTTAATTTTTTTTTTAAGTAATGGTTGTTCATGGAATCCCTCTATAACTAAGGAGTTTACCGTTTTTTTCCGAGGAGCTGTTTTTTCCGAGGAGCCGTTTTTCTCAACGAATCCATTTCCAAAAGGCCACATTTTTTAAAGAACACCATTTTCGTAGAGCATGGCATAGAGCTTTTGAAGGGATTCCTAGAGGAATCAACGAGTTGATACGTGTCCCCACATTTGACGAACACAACTGAACTTCTAGCCTTGATCCCAGGCTAGAATCTGCAACTTCGACTCGCAACTTCCCTTGTCAAGTGGCTGAGAATGGATGGCTACCGTGCTTTACCTTTTTGTTGGAATGGAGGCTTCTCATATTTTTCAATTATTTTTTTTTTCTTATTGCTTATGTTTTCAGATATAAAATATATAGTTTTTTTTTGCATTATGTCGTCATTAAAATTCAAAAAAAAAAAAATTAAATTTCAAATTATATTCGGTGGCGCGAAAACGATTACCTTCAAAATGGCGGTACTTGTGACGTCAACTGTCTGTAAGCACAACATTAAGGTCTGTTCTCACAAGAGAATCTGACACTTTGCAAACTGTCAGAAAGAATTGCTCAGCTTGAACCTTCGACTGCATTGAAAGCAGTTATTACATGGTGTTTCCGTATTTAGTGCCGTATTGTGACATTTCGTATGTTAAATCGTTCATCATGGTTGATAGAGGATTTACAAAAGCGCAATCTAACTGGTGACCCCGACGTGATACCAAATAATGTGCTGGATTGCACTTAATTTTATCGATTATTTCTCGTATTGATATCCATTTTATTCAGGTTCCAATTAAAAACCCAAATATCACTTTCAAACACATTTATTAACGTAAATTATAAACTTCTTTAATTAAACGACAAAATAACTCAAAATTAGTCAAAATATTGGAAAGACCCGTGCTATTTTTATTTATTTTATTTTACTTGCGATGCGACATGCTCGCATTACTGATAGCTACTCACGACTGAAAATGCAATTTCTGGTGAAATCTATGCCCGGACCCTTCCATTTTTTGTCCTCTTAAAACTAGTTGAAACCCGCTCAAAAATGCAGGGGCAAAAAATATGAATAACAGCGGCGTAGTATGAATTTTGAAAGAAAACAAATATTTAATATATTTAATGAAATTACGGAACATACCGCCACCCTTGAAAGCATCGCCTTTCAAAACAAACAAAATAAATACTCCAAAAAACAGTAATTTCAACCATAACCATTACAACTTAATTATTAGATACTTAATTTATTACTTAACAGAGCTGTTCTTATTCTAGTGACTTAACAATAATCGATTAAGCCAAAGGCAAAACACACAATTTGGCCACAGCACGCTTAAAATTGCCATGGACAGTTTTCACTAGCACAACACGAGTTATTTGATCGGCACCTGGAAACAATTCTAACACACGCCCCAGAGACCATTTCAATGGAGGCAAATTGTCCTCTTTTATTAATACCAGGTCGCCCACCTTTATTGCAGGTCCATTAGGAAATCGCCACTTAGCACGTCTTATCAATTCACTAAGAAATTCATTTTGCCAACGTTTCCAAAAGTTTTGGACGATCTGCTTCAAATATTGGTATCTATTTAGTCTGTTGGTATTTACGGAGCACACATCGGGCTCAGGTAAAGCCAATAATGAATCCCCTATTAAAAAATGTCCCGGAGTCAGTGGCGACAAGTCATTTGGGTCACTAGAAATGGCGCTGAGTGGTCGGGAATTTAAACAGGCTTCAATTTGTACGAAAACTGTTGTTAATTCTTCGAAAGTTAAAGCAGCATTACCCATAATACGTTTTAAATGGTATTTTGCCTGTTTTACACTTGCCTCCCACAAACCACCGAAATGCGGAGATCTAGGAGGTATAAATTTCCAATTGATACCATCTTGAGATAAATAATTGACTATTTTATTATTAAATTCATTACTTGCAATCTGATTTAAAAATCCTCGCATTTCGTTGTTCGCGCCAACGAAATTTGTGCCACAATCAGAAAAAATACTTTTGCATTTGCCGCGACGACCAATAAATCGCTTCAAAGCATTTAAAAAGGCATTGGTCGTGAGGTCAGAGACGACCTCTAAGTGAACTGCACGCGTAACGAAGCAGACAAAGACACACAAATATGCCTTCAAAATTTTACTGTTCCGCAAAGTAGAGGATTTAATATTAAAGGGACCCGCATAGTCCACTCCACAATTATAAAAGGGCTTTGAAGGCGTAATCCTCTGCTCAGGCAATTCACCCATTAAGGTATTGATATTTGATGGATTCACTTTATAACATACAATACATTTACGAAGTACTCTTTTAATTACAGTAATACCTCCCAAAATCCAATACTTATTGCGAATATTTGCGAGTAAATTCTGAGCACCCATATGCAAGTTCCTTTTGTGTTCATAGCTTATTATTAAATTACTGAAATGGTTATTTTCCAAAATGATAGGAAATCTGTGATCATATGAAAAAGGAGCCTTGCCTATGCGGCCTCCAACTCGTAAGACATTATTCCTGTCCAAAAATGGATTTAACGAAACTAACCTACTAGATCGCGAGATTGCTTTATTGCCTTGCAAAAGCTCTAACTCCTCCAAAAAATCTGCTGACTGAGATATTTTACAAAGTATCGATAAGGCATTTTCTAATTCATGTATAGTCAAACAACCAGTTAATCTTTTATCCGGTCTTGCCTTTAAATTATTATAAAACCTTATGCAAAAGGCTGTTACTCTTTGGAGTCGCAAAAAACCTGAAAATTTATTTATTAGATCACATCCTCCTGTGGTTCCATGCAACGTAGTTCTTATATTTTTCATATCAGGTAAGTCTGATGTACAATCCTGCGAATTCTTTGCTTTAGGCCAATGAGCTCTATCCTTTTTCAACCAAGCTGGCCCTTGCCACCATAACTTCGACCTTATTAAATTATTCACACTGCAACCTCTAGAAATAAGGTCCGCAGGATTTTCTTCGCCCGGAACATGCCTCCATGTATTTATTAATTTATTCTCTTGAATCTCAGCTACTCTGTGGCTCACGAAGATATTCCATCTAGATGGGTCTGATGCTAGCCAACCTAAGACTGTTGTTGAGTCAGTCCAACATGTAACTTCGTCAATTTCCATATTTAAGGCGTGAATTGTTTTTGTTATCAATCGAGATAACAACAATGCTCCACATAACTCTAACCTTGCAATGGTTGCAATAGGTTTGTTTGGAGTCACTCTAGATTTCGCACAAAGAATATGTGTATGCACTTCATTATCTGGAGACACAGAGCGCAATATTAAGCATGCACCATATGCTCTTTCCGACGAATCACAGAACCCATGAACTTCTATTCTTATTGACTGTCGGTTTATAGCATGTCTGGCTATTACTAAATTATTCAGACAAGGCAAATCCTTGTAGAACTGTCGCCAAAGTTCATGTATATTGTTAGGAAGCTCTTCATCCCAATCGAGCTTATCCTTCCATATTTCCTGCATTATCATTTTTGCACAAATAATGATCGGACCCACTAACCCGAGCGGGTCAAAACTCTTGACAATATTGATAATATGTTTCTCTTGGTTACCTTTATAGGATAATCCAAAGAAATAACATATCGCAAACTATCTTGTTTAATATTTCAGATGAGCCCTAGAGTTTTCGTTACGTCCTTATCTATTGTA